TAATAACGCTTTCAGTACAGTTCATTTACTTAAAAAAATGACAGAACTTGCCGGTACGTGGCGATATACACCACCAATTCTCACGGTTATCAGTCACTTATTTGAAACGATGCGATGCACGAAAAAAGAAAAAAAAACAATAACCGTGAATCGCATAAAGTTACAGTTAAATATATTAGTAATCACAATAGATGTTCAAAATTGGAACCATGGGCATCTGCGCAAGCTTGGCACCATCGAACTCAATTTTCTTCAACTCGTTGAAAATTCCAGTCATATTACGTATTTCATTAGAGGCGGCCGAAATACGCTCCCTTGAATCATTCTCATCCCTTATTTCAGAGGCGTAAACTAAATTTTTCATGAATCCCCAGAAGAAAATATCTAATGGATTAAGATCGGGGGTTCTAGCCGGCCAAGTATTTGGACCATTTTCTTCCCATCCACCTTTCCTATAGGTATTATGGAGATGTTCCACAACTACTCGACTAACGTGTGCTGGAGCACTATCGTGCAAGTACCACATATTCATTCTTGTTTGCAATGAAACTTCTGCCAACAAAACGGGCAAATTGTCTCTTAGAAAAGCTAAGTAGCTCTCACCGTTCAAGCAATGTGGCAAAAAAAATGGTCCAATTAATTCGTTACCAATTATTCCAGCCCACACATTAGCACGTTGACTGCCACGCTGGTCCCATGGGACTAGTTTTAATGACTTGCCTAGAGCCGCGCTGGTCCTATGGAACCAGCAGACTTTCACCTGGGTATGGAGCCGCTGGCTGTTTAGGGACCAGCGCGGCTTCATAGAAGATATCTATAAGCATGGTTTTTAAATTTTTATTTTTTTAGTTTTGTGGTCCCATTAGAAAATACTACGAATCGATATTGGCAAAGTATGTATTTTTAACTAAAATAACTTACAAAGCACTGTATAAAATAAGTGAAATATAAAAACTGAACAAATATTGAGCTAAGTCTGACTACTCTTGATCTATTTCATTGAAACAATTCAGACATAAAAATGGTTTGCCCTCACAATCCTCGCAGTAGGTGTCTACTTTGAGTGTACGATTGGTAGCATATTTCCTACCATGAAGCTCGTTATTTTTTTTATAACGGTCCTTGCAACATCTTCTTGTTTTATGCTCATTTTCGCCATCTTTTCGTTTTAGAGAATGGTGTCGTCGTCTTTTTGCCGGTAGTTCATGGTCAATGTTCTCATTGTTAGCAGTATTTATAAGATATCTTATGACTTTATAATATAAAAGCATTTACCATGGAAGTTGTAAGCAAAAGCTCAAATGCAATTTTGCGACACCATTTGACAGATCTTCGAAGAGGATTAGAATACGATCCCATTTGATCAGAGAGATCCACAGAACTTTTTCCTCTATTGTAATCGACGACGACTTTAGGTATTCTGGTGTTATTTCTCTCTACCATTTCAGCATCATGGTTTGTAGACAGTACCAGCACATCCCTTTGGTCTTTCCACTTCAGTAATATTATCTCATCTTTGTTCTCCATGGCCGTAACTTCTCCTTTTTTAAGCTTTTTGTCTACAACTTCCTTTGGTAGCCCCTGGCGGTTTTTGCGTATCGTGCCAATGAGGTGTGTACTAGAATCAAGCATCCTTTTAGCTAAAGGTAAACTCGTATACCAGTTGTCTGTTACTAAGGTTCTGCCGACACCTATAATATCTTGGGTAAGAAATGTTACAATACCTCCTGGAGTTATTCGATCGTCATTTTCTTTGCCTGCATAAATTTTGATACACGTTATGTGTAGCCTGTTCCTGAACACAAATATTTTGATACTATACTTGTATCTTTTCAATCTTATGTATTTTTTTATAGACAATCTTCCTCTATAAGGCAACATCGTCTCATCAACACATACATATAATTCAGGAGTATAAAGATCTTTATAATTCTTCAGGGGTTTGTCTAGCAAAGGCTTTATTTCAGCAAGTTTATCACCAGCGATAGCTTGATTGTTGTCTGCAAAATGAATTGTTCGAAGCAAAATTTCAAATCGATTACGGCTGAATACAGAACGAGGAAAACTAAAGTTGAATAATGGATCCGTTGACCAGTAATCAGCCAATGTAGGTGCTTTGACCATTCCCATCCGGCCACTAGCCCTAAGAAATGTTTTATTTCTGTTTTATTTGTTGGTACCCAATTATGGTAGCGGGAATTGTCACTTGCATCCGTTTCATTCAAGTGACAACTAGAATAACGATTTGTTTTATCCGCAATATATGAGAAAATCGAATCGTCTACAACAGCTTCATAGAATTGTCCTAGACTTGCATTTGCTAGTAAAGCGGCAACTTCTGGTTTTATTCCAGATGACTGGGTATAGGTTGGAATGGCTTTGTAAATTCTTGAGATTGGCCCCCATCCCTCACCATATGTTGAAACAGTAGGCACCGGCGCCGGCATTTCCGATGAAGCAGGCTTCCCCAAAACTTTCAGCTTCAGGTTCGTTTTGGTTAGTTTGTATTAGAGATGCAGGTGTTTGACTTGTGCTGGCTTCATTACATGATGGAATCCGTAACCTTTGTTTCCTTTTACTTGCTCTCAATAATTCACCAAAATCATCGTCCGAGTCCATGTCTGAAGAATCCGATGGTTGATATGAATCACTGTCAGAGCCTGGAAAAAGTTCTATGAATGACTCGTCTGAATCGGAATCCCAAATCGTGTTCACAAGCTCCTCTAACTCTTTTTGCGTCAGGAGTCTATCACACATCTAAAATAGTATCACAAATTCACAGTGTACAAAAAACTGTAGTATATTACCTCTTACCTTATCGCAAAAATATGCTAACTACCAAAACCACTAAAAAAGATGTCAGCAAACAACAAGTGGTACAAAAAGCAAGTATAACCTATAACTTTGCCGATCGTTATTGCCGCTCAAAGTAACGTCAAGGGCCCAGCGGCGCTACGAAAGAATATTACTAGATTTTTGTCGACAGGGGCCGCGCTGGTTCCATAGGATCAGCAAGAAAAGAACCACAGAAAATTTATAAAAATGAACGATATTTTAATTTAGTCGGATATGGAAGACCGAAATTAACGCCTTCCTAAACCAACAACGAAACATTCCGATTCGACACTAAGTGCCTTTATGATGCTATCGATACTTCGCGAATGTTATCAGATCGTTTTCATTGATATTTATCCACTAAGCGGTGTAGTTCTGAATATATTCGTGCAAAAGCCAGCGAGATGATTACAGTAAAATACCTAGACAAACCCAAATGTTGCAAATTTAAGAAGTTGGTAACACACATATGTTTTTAAAAAGACTAGCGACAATCTCAATTAGTATTTGCGAACAGAGCATTTAACAAAGTAGTACTTGAATTTTATCACATTTTATTCATCGTTCTTTAGTCGTCAATTTCTCAAAATCTCAAAGATTTTAACAGTGTTGTCATTGTACTCGTAATAAATTGAGTAAGCTAGATAATTATCAATGCCAGTAGCGTCACGAATAATTTTGAAGAAAAAGATTACATTTATTTAACGAAAAATAAATCTTCGTTCGTCGTTTTCCACGAAAGAAATCAAAACAACTTTATCAGTTGTCGAAAACTACTTGAAATATGAGAGCTGAAGCCTGCATAGAAGCAACATGTTTAGTATATATTTATTATGGTTCTTAATTTTCTTTTCTTAGGTTTCAAAGAGTAGCTTAGAAATGAGTGCACCACCGGTCAAATGAAATTGACCTTATTTTTCGACATATAATAAAATACATTAATTTTCCCTAAAACTAAGTAAGACAGGAAGAGATACCAAGAGAACATTGTAAAATTAGCTGCCTAATTCGAAGATAGTACGCACATCTTTTTCTCAAGGTCATTCATTAGACTGTCGCCCAAAGCGCTACTGGCATTCATAATTAGCTTCAAGTTAATGCTGAGTCAGCGACCTATAGCAAGAAATAAAATTCGGCAAGGATATTTGAGATAACAATAAGAAAAGTTTTTTTTTCGAGCTTGGTATCCTTTATCATAGACACATTATGGCTTATACCAACTTTTCTATTAAATTTATTACAAGAATACACTCTTGCAGTTATGGCCTATCGTTAAGCGGGAATTACATTACGAAACTAGTGGTATGAAACTAGTGTCATGACATTAATTTCACCAACATTTCATGTGCAAGTAGTTTCGTAGTGTCGTGAAATCGACAGTATCGCTGTGATCATGGCGCCGTCAGCATCGAAGCTGTATTTTGCAGTTCAAGATGTTGTCATACAGATGTTGATATATAAACTGAAAAAGAGGATGGCTCGAAAGAAAAAGCGTTGGTGGGTTAGAGGATGGGTAGCAAGGAGACATCTGGGTGCAGTACAGTTAATTTCCGAATTAGCAGATGAAGATCCTGAGAGCTATACAAACTATTTTCGAATGAGTGAAGATTGCTTCAACTTTTTATTGGATAAAGTATCTGACAAAATCACTAAGCAGGATACGACATGTCGAGCAGCATTGACACCAAAAATAAAACTTCAAATTACGCTGCGATTTCTAGCAACTGGGAATAGTTTGAAGTCATTGTCATACGAATTTAGAGTGGCACCATGTAGTATATCAAAATTTCTACCTGATATGCTAATCGCAATCTATGAAGCATTAAAAGACTACATTCAGGTAAGCAAAACATTTTTATTTAATACAGTTGAAAAGTTAGATACTCAAATCTAAAAATACTCATCAAAGTCCAATTCTCTCTCCGTTATGCTGGCAATAGCTTGAGAAAGTACATCGTTATTGTAACCAGTGGGATTTGCATCTTCTTTATCGTTATTGATGGCACTACTGGCAGAAGCCGTGGACTTTGGTCTTGGTGGCGATGAATTGCGTTGAGATAACGACTGTTGCTTCAAAGAACTGATTCGTTGCCTTCTTATTGTTGATAAAATTATCTCCTCTGTTTCTAAAGCAATTTCCAGAGGAAGCTGTCGTAGCTGTTGAGCTACGGTTTGCCCAAACAGTGCAAACTCATCATTGCCTGCATTAGGCACGTGTTGCGAGGAAATCTGTTCCAATGTATGTACCGCTTTAAGTAGCGGATCTGCAATTTTCCTTTTGTTTCTTGTAGGTGTGCGTGGTATGGTAAACTCATCATTACTGGATCCTGAAGCTGAACCCTGTGAAGCAGTGTTGGGTGTCTAAAACAATAATTAAATTTTGAATTTTCTTTACAGGTACCAAACACAGAAGAATGTTGGAGGGAGATAATGGATGGCTTCAATGATAAATGTAATTTTCCAATGTGTGGTGGTGCAATCGATGGCAAACATGTTCAAATCCGATGTCCAGCACATTCTGGAAGTGACTATTATAATTATAAGGGCACATTCAGTATTGTCCTCCTAGCAGTTTGCGACAGTGAATTAAAATTCAGGTATATCAATGTGGGCCACTATGGTCGAGCTTCTGATGGAGGAGTATTTGCCAGATCAAATTTTAAAAAAAAGTTGGAGGAAATGTCTTTGAACGCCCCTGAAGGAATGGTTTTATTGGGGGACCAGGCGTTTCCTCTCACTGACTATCTTATGACACCATATAGTCGTCGACTAAATTTATCGAAAAAACAAAAAATTTTCAACTACCGACTATGCAGAGCTCGCCGGACTGTAGAGAATGCCTTCGGAGTGTTGGTTAGCAAATTTCGTATACTTGAAAAGCCTATTGCTCTACTCCCAGAAACTGTGGACAAAATTATAAAGACATGTTGTGTCTTGCATAACTGGCTGAAGACCCGATCATCAACCTACATTGAGCCAGGACTGATTGATGAAGAAAACTCAGAAACAGGAGAAGGATCATGGCGTACTATAGCACAGAACTCATTTAGGCCACTGGGTAATTTCAGTGGAAACCATTCGAGAAATGCTCACCGGATACGCGAGCATTATACTGACTACTTTGTTGGGCAAGGGCGTTTAGAATGGCAAGATAGGATGATTTATTAAATGCAAAATCATATTGGAAGCTGATAATAAAAAACTTACCAAATTTTCTGTGTTTTCTCTGGCATAACCATCAGTATTTTTAAAAAATCCATATGAGGGATCCATGGTATTTTAGAGATATACTGTTCATCGGTTGCCATACCAGTAGTATTAGATTTTTTTGTCTTCATTACTTCATTGTTGTAAGTATTACGAAGTGTTCGTATTTTGCAAATTACATCTTTTACACTTTCCATCTGCATAACCTCCATAATTGCTTTGTACCCCGCGTCTCGGGCATCTCTATTTTTGTAGTCAGGGTGTTTTGGATCCCAAAGACACTCGTTTCGCTGGTATTCATTAATGAACTGTATATTTTTATCGGCTGTCCAGCGTTGATTCGCCATTTGTAACGAATATTTCACGATTTCACAATCTGCACGTGCACGGCCACAAAACACACATCCACTCTGAAGCGCTGTCGTGACACTAGTTTCGCACATTCGCGTCACGTTTACATCGTGAAACTGGTGGCATAACACTAGTGTCGTTCAAAAATTGCGCGCCGCACGAAAGTAAATCGGTGTCATGAAAGTAATGCACGCATTGTGAAACTTAACATTTACACGTGAAACTATTGATGAAACTACTGTCATGACACTAGTTTCATACCACTAGTTTCGTAATGTAATTCCCGCTTTAAGTAGCACTGTATGTTACAAGCAAGGCGGATAAACCGGACATTGAACCTAATGGCCGGGCAATGGCGTAAATGCACAGCTAAGTCGGGCAATATTGATGAAAACCTAACAAGCTGTTAACATCATTGCATGGAAGATGGTGTTACTGGCCGTCAAACAACTGCCAATTATGGTCTAGCATACTCTACAATGTATAGTTGTTTAATGTATAACTCTTAAAGGTGCTGGGATAGATGAGCTAGTTTGGAGGAAATTTTACTATTCAAACCGGTATGGACTTCTTATGAAATGTCCCAACCATCCACGGGAGGTATTTATGCCATTTTAGAAAGCAAGGCGATGACAAGAAATGATTATTTAATGCTGAGGAATACAACAACCGTATATTTTGACGTAATTAAAAGAAGACATTATAGAGAAAGTACGGTTTTTGATAATGGGAAGCATTGCGGTCTGATTGACAACTGGATTTACACCACAAAGTAACTCAAAGTTGGAACAATGAAACATCATCTTGACTTACCCTGTACAAAAAGTCAAACCGTGGCTACAATCAAGAACCGATATCTGCTCTACAAATTAACGACAATGATTGTACTTACCGCCTGCCAGAAATCAATAAAATCTAAGTAAAAGTGAAAAAGTTAAGACGTTCCGAATTAGACCAAAATTCTGCTTGTTGTGTTTATTTTCAACCTCAGTGTATGTATGCGAATTAGTAGCTTCTTTGTTCCTAAGGTATCAAGATTGTTCCAGTTACACTGACTGCTAAACAGTTCTAAACTCGAATCAAGATTTCCATGTTTTGCTTCTAGCAGTCACATTACTTGACATGCAAGCTCTGCCTTGACGGCTGCTTCGGTATAAAAAAGTCAATTATATAGAAAATACGATAAAACCTTCATCAATAGGGAGTCATGTGAATATTGTAGAAATTGGACTACATGTAACGAAATATAGCAACTGCTAAAAGCAGACTTGTTTCTTCGAATGGGAAAACAAAACTGTCAGAATATCTTATACATACGTCGAATATCAGCCAGAAATGAAAACAGGTGGATAATATGCGAGAAGCGGTGGAGTTTTCCAGCAGGTTTTCCACTCTACTACAGAATTTGACATTGCTGATTTCTCCTTCTACCGCGCCTGGATTTGTCCGTTTATTCAGGTTGAAATATGGGTGTGCAATGAATCGTGTAGGAATCAGAAAGTCGACGGAAAATATCGCTTATGTTTGTTTTAAATACTCAAATGTATATATTCGGATGAGGATATTTTTTAATGGATATACGTTCGGGTATGGATAAAAAATCTACTGGGATTCACATTATTCCGTTTTCCATTTGCATAAAAATACCGCCGCTCGTTCGTCTATTTATTCATGTTCCTTTGTGTACAGCCTGAGTGTCTGCCTATTATTTCAAAGTATCAAGAAAATTTCGAAATGGATTATGAAATAGATGTTTTATCAGTAGAAAACCTCAACTTACTTTGCTAGTGCTTTCTGAAGTAGATTTTTCTGTGTGTTCAAAATATCCTCACTTAAGTAGCCAGTCTGGGAATTTACTCGCGCCAAAGGATATGAATATAATCGTGGGAATTTTTATCTATCTTCATATGAGGACATGCTCGCTGACCCTGTAGGGCAAGTCGCGTCGTATATAGCATTGCATATTTCTGAAATGGTGAAATTCCAACAAAAAAAAACGGAATCTCATAGCCTACCGCTCAAAAAGTGGCGACGCTAACACTTGATGACGATGGTTGATAAAATTATGGTTATAAGCACGATTGGTTGGCGGTACCGTGGCATACATGCTTGATTTCACGTAGAAACTGATTTCAATGGATTAAATATCTTCTAGTGGAATATGTTAATCAGTGATGGTAGTGAATGTAGAATGCAAGTATTTTCATTACTCGGCCGCTAGTGGACTAATTCTCAATAGCTATGAAACCTCTTCCTTTGTTGCTATGATCGTAGTCCCTACTAATATTATAAATGAGGAAGTGAGGATGTTTGCTACTCAGTCTCGCCAAAACGCCTAAATGGATCTAGAAGGAATTTGGTACAGATGTAGATCATAGTCTAGAGTAGCATATACATATATATATGCAGGGTGTTCCTTAATGATATGCGAATATTTAAGGGTGTGAATCTACATGAAAAATTAATGTTAGTTTGCTTTATAAACTATGGTCCAAAAATGTCTCCTTACAAGAACTCGGGGTGTTCAAGTTTTAGGAAAAAAATGGAAATTAATATTTTCAGAACCGCTTCAGATATTTCACTGATATTTAGTGCGTAGTGAAAGTTAATAAAGCTGCATATTTTTCAATGCAAAAATAATTTTTAGCTTTAACAGTGGCGTGCATATAGGTATTGACTGCGATTTTTTTTAAGAATAAAATGGTACGCCAACGGCTTTTTGACAAATAAAAAGTATTTTTGAATTCCCCGTTCAATTTAAAATAAATGATCTCTCTTGAACTGTTTTCCTTCAATGCGCAATTTTTGAGTAAAAAAATAAAAACCGTTCTATTTTCTGAGAAAATTAATGTAATAATTGAAGAATGCAATTTAGTAATAAATATCTAGTTGATCTGCAATATGTCACTGGCCTTTGATATCTGACAAGTCTCTATTATTTAAATCTGTTAGCTGTGATATCTTTTTCATTATTTATTACGTATATGGCCTTGCCGACGGTATTGGTGAGCAAGTCAGACGGATTGATCACCAGAGATATCTCGATCGTGCTTTGCCAGATAGTCGAACCTTTCCTAATATTCATCGTCGTCTTGTTGAAACTGGTTCTGTACGAAAAGGAACATCTGAAGGTAGACTTCTAAATGTGAGAACACCTGAAATTGAGGAAGCAGTGCTGCACAAAGTCGAACAACATCCCGAAACGAGTACGAGGAAGATCACTAGACACTTAAATATTTGCCATCAAATTGTTTGGAGAATTTTAGTGGATGTTTTGTTATATTCTAACCATATTTTAAGAATACAGGGATTACTTCCCATTGATTTTCCAAGGCGTGTGACCTTTTGTCAGTGGTGTCTTCAAAAAATTACACAAAACCCGCAAATTGAATCAATGATTCTGTACACGGACGAAGCTAATTTTTCGCGAAATGCCATTCAGAATTTAATTAATTTTTTAATCATTTGTGGACAGAAGAAAATCCCTATTCCGTCATTGAAACCGATTTCCAACACCAATTTTCGGTTAACGTATCGGCAGGAATTATTGGCAACCACTTTATTGGCCCATTCTTCTAGCCGGGACGACTTGACAGACAGACTTACCTCAATTTTCTTCAACAACACAATAAGAAACAATATGTGTTACATGCATGATGGTGCACCAGCGCATTTCAGTGTTGCGGTTCGTAATTATTTACAAACTGTTCATCTAAATCGTTGGATTGGTCGCGGTGGGCCCCAAGAATGGCCACCAAGGTCCCAGACCTCAACAGTTTAGATTTCTTTTTGAAGTGCTGTCTTAAGATACTAGTGTACACAGGTCCCATTAAGAGAATTAAGAGAAAGAATAGTTGCAGCTTGTGATAGAATAAAGAAGACTCCAGGGATATTTTAACGAGTGTGCAATTCCATTAGAAGGAGGGCAGAAGCATGCATACTAAGTGAAGGGGGCCATTTTCAACAAATTTTTGTAATCATTTCGTTGATTTTAATGTGATGTTCATGTTGTCAGTTGTTGTTGTTTATTGCCCCTAATGTGTTTAATTTTTCTAATTAAATTAAAAACAACTTTGGTAGTTAGATAATAGAACGGTTTTTATCTTTTACTCAAAAATAGTGCATCAAAGGAAAACAATTCAAGATAAATCATTTGTTTTGAATTGAACGGGAAATTTAAAAATAATTTTAATTTGACAAAAAACCATTGGCTTGCCATTTTTCTCTTAAAAAATATCGAAGTCAATACCCGTACGCACGCCACTGTCAAAGATGAAAATTATTTTTGCATTGAAAAATATACAACTTCATTACCTTTCACTACGTACTAACTATTAGTGAAATATCTGAAGCGGCTCTGAAAATATTAATTAATTTCCATTTCTTTCCTAAAACTTCAACACCCCGAGTTTTTGTAAGGTAACATTTTTGGACCATAGTTTATGGAGCAAATTAACATTAATTTTTCATGTAGATTGACACAATTAAATATTCGCATATCATTAAGGAACACCCTGTATACAGGGTATTAGGGAAATAGTATTCTAAAAGTTCATTATAGCCTATGTCCGAAAATCAACCGTTTCGGAGCAAAGACATGCTGAACTTATTTCTTTTTAGTCATGAAATAAATTAAATTTGCACCTTAATAATTTAAATTCATATGTCTAATAGCGTAAAATGTATCAATACATCTATTTATCAAATAACTGTCTCTAACAACATAATTTTCTTTCTTATTAAATGCAAATTTCCAAAGAAAAACCAGTCCTTCCCACAA